AATTCAAGAGCTATAAGGATATCAAAAGGCTTGGAAAAAAGGCGCCTTGAGCAAGTATATATAAAAGGTTTGGAAAATGAGACAACAACATGGCATATGCGTGTTAATTATAACGAGAGAAAGATGAATAAAGTTAATTTACGTTCATGGGAGTTCATAAATTCTGTCTTTTCCCCTCATTTAGAAAATTTATGAATATTTTTGTATCCAAGTAAACTTTATGGTACCCAATACTCTTTAATGTAAATTTTGGTTATGAAAAATGCACTTTAAAACTAACTTCTTGAGTCCCACTAAGGAGGTATTTGGATGTAATCAAACCATGGTTTAGAGAATAGCTTCTGGAGAATAGATTTTGGAGAGAATAGATTTTTTGAAGAATAGATTTTGTGAAACAGTGATTCTGAGAAGTGAGAGTGTTTGGATAGTTGTTACCAGAAGCACTTTTTACATATACAAATTACTAAAAAGATCATAAGTTAATATGATAATTATATAAAAGATAGATTTTATAAAATATTTTAATTTGAAAGAATAAAATTGTTAACAAAATAATTTTTACTAACATAATTAATAATATATAAGATAATATAATTAATAAATAATTAATATGTGTATGTATATTTATAAATTATAAGATTAAAAATTTTTTGTAAGAAATGAATAATTTTACCAATAGAAAAATATTATTTTATTCTAAAAACAACAAGACACATATCTCATAAGTTTTTGCACTCTTTCTTTTTCCTCCAAAAGCAGAAAATTTCTGCTTCTGCCAAAACCATGGTTTCTAGGCCAAAACCATGGTTTTGGTTTTTTCTATGATGTTTGGGTAATTTTTTCCCAAACTATGGTTTGGGGAATCACCCAAACACCCCTTAAAAGTAAACTAACATACATTAACGGTATGATGTCAGATGTTTCTTTTTAACAACTTTATATATATTTTTACACCTAAATAAGTTTTATTGTGTTTAGTACCTCTTAAAATAAATTTAGTGGTTAAAATTACACCTTAACGCACTGTAAAATTTTTATAAAAAAACTCATGAATTATTAAGATAAATTTAAATTAAAACTTATAAAATATTACACTTTTCTGGAATACAAAGCCCATAAATAGAATCAATATTCTTGGCCTTCGTTTGCGAACCAAGTTTCCGTTTTACTCTTCATGAAAAGGGGGGAAAAAAAAAAAAAAGAGCAACTCGAAAACGATGTTAATTTTGGAACAGTAGGCTAGTGGGGTGTAGTCATTAAATATAGACACCCACATTACATAGGAATTGGATCCTCTCTACTACCCTTCCCATCCTCTTCCCTTCTACTACCTTCCTTTTTTCTTTACAACCATTGGATCAAAACTCCAATAGTCTAGATTTAATATTTTATAACATTTTATAAAAATAAATATTATGATAAAAAATAGATAAATAAATTTAAACTGTTAAAATCTAATTTGAACAGTTCATAACTATAGACTGTTATTATAGAGTAAATTTTTTTAAAATTTTTTTATTACAATTGTAAACTATTCAGACCAGATTTTAACAGTTTAAATTTATTTATTTATTTTTTAATAACATTATTTTTATAAGATGTTAAATCTAGACCATTGGAATTTTAATCCAATGGTTGTGAAGAAAAAAGAATGGTAGTGGAGGGGAAGAGGATGGGAAGGTAGTGGAGAGAATCTAAGTCCCATTACGGAGTTGAACCGCTCTAGTGCTGGAAGATTACTCGTGGAAGAAAGAGAGCTGCTGATTTCTGACATTTCAGAGACAATATTTGTTGCAAGCCAGGGTGAAATCTACTCACGTGCTCTTAAATCGCCAACCCAACAGTCACGACATCTGAAGTCACCCAGCGTCATTTCCGGCTACCGTTCAAAAGGCCAAAAGTAAAGTGACTATAAAAAATATTTCAGGCACAATTAGAAAAGTTTTGGAAAAGTTGCAACAAAAACTGTGGAGACTGTGAAATTACAAATCAGAACTTGTTATAAGATTTTTATAGATTTTGATAACAATTAAATGATAAATAACAACAAATTTTTAACAAAATATCTTATTTGTAATTTCCCAATTTTTACTGCCTTTTTTTTGTGATTTTTCAAAAAAAATTCTCACATTTTCCTCTAAACTTATCTATTTATAGGGTAAAAGGAAAAAGTTTTTTTAATTCTATTTATAAGTAACCTTATTAAATTTTTAGTATAAATATACTCCTAGCATTTATTATAATGTAAGTAGTTTATCTTTAAATATAATATTCATGTTAAATAGAGATAATATTAAAAATTTGTTATATTTTAAAGGATGAGATAATGCAGTTTAAGTTTTTTTATTAAGTTTGTTTTTGTTTTTGGATGAATTGTGTATATTACTTTCTCAATATGCAAGAATTGGTGATCATAGTGATGAGGAGAAAGAGGCACAAGACCTGGACATGGGTATTGTGTTTTAAGTTTAAATCATGGTAGGGCACTTTATGATTATGTAATAATAATGGTAGGTCTTTCTACATTAGTTCTGTCCATTGCATCTGTGATGATTACCTTTTCCACAACCATAATGATCATGTTGGAAAGTAAACCATCACACTTATGGGCTCTTCTTCCTGTTGCTATGCTTGCTGGTGTTCCAGTAACCTTCTTTGTATTATTACAATTCTCTTTTATTGTTGAAATACTTTCTTCTACTTATGGTTAAGGCATCCTTAAGAAGGTAGAGAAGTGGCCATAAACTGTGTGTGTAATTCAAATGTCTTACTACTCATAGCTATATGTATTTTCTATCGAATAAAATTTTTTCTCATGGATCTTAATCTTAATGTGTAATAAAGCAACTGGTTTTATTTTTAGCCAAGTCTGATGTGCGTTTATTAGCCCATATTTAGAACATGCATGGGTGTATCCATCAGAGCCTTGCTAATTAAACAGAGTATATCCACTGACAGAACACAACCAGATTCCATCATATCCCGCGAAGTTCTTTCTTAACAAGTAAAATTGATCAGATTAAAAAAATTCTTCACTCACTTTCTTAGCTTCATATATATATTTATACATGTTACTTCTAATTCTAAATATAAAATTTAGTTTGTAACATAAATTTAAAAATATAAATTAAAATTGTATATATACTCAAAGAAGTATGTAAATATTTTATAAAATATCCATGTCAACAGGGCTACGTCTACTCCGCTCATCTCCGGCCAGCATCTATAATTTGTCTTCTACTTATGATCCAAGCATCTTTAAAAAATGCGGAAATTTTGAACCTTCTTAAAACACCGAAAGATTTCTTTTATGGGGGATAAAAACGATTGTAAGTATTTAATTTTAAACGTCAAAAGCTTGATTGAACGGACATAAATTCAATACACTAAAATAATTATTTTAATATATATAAAAATTTAAAATAAAATAATTTTTTAATTATTATTTTTAAAAATAATTTTTATTTAAAAATAATTAAGTAAAAATTTTAAATATTAACCGTTTAAATTAATTGTAAACGATTCAAACCTCATGAGTTTGATATCCTGATTTAAGAAGTCATGGTTGTGTCAGAAGAATAAGTTTTCTCTCTCTTTCCCTCGTCAGCTCTCGTTCTCAGTTTCGAAAGTCTCCCACGCTCATTCTCCTCTCCTCCGCTCGCAAGCAGAACCTTGCAGCCTCTCCACTGTGACGTCCGTCGGATCTTCACTATCACATCCGTCGCGTCTTCACCGTGAGCGCCGTCCAGTGCCGGGACCCTAAATGCACCGTTTGTAGTGTAGTAGCAGTCAGTCCAGTGATGCGCACAGTGACGGAGAAGCCGATGGTTTGTTAGTTCCCTTTTGCTGTTCCCAACCCACTGGTTTGGGGTCCTCCACTTACCCATCAATCTAAGCCTTCTGACCAGTCGCATTGTTGCGTGTTCGATTTCGCGTCTGCGTATCTAAGCATCTAGCATTATTGGTCGATTCCCCTCCACGACCCTCACCGGTAAGGTTTCGGGGTTCTCTCATTCGATTGCCAAAATTGATTGTGCATTTTGTACTTCCTTGATTCCATCCCGAGATTCTTAACATCTCTCTCCTGTTGAAAACAATCCTAATTATAAAAGTTAATTCACTAATATGAAGAGATTAAAAAATTAAATTAGTTATTTGTAATAAATATGTGTTATCTTTCTTAAAATATTCTTACTAATCAAATGTGTTGGTTAGAATTACTATTTTTAGAAGGATTAGAATTATTATAATTAGAAAAACTATTATTATTAGAAAGATTGTTTTAGAAAAAAATACATAAATATGAAAGACAAAATAAATTCAGATCTTATATCTAAGAACAAAATAAAAATTGAATAAAATCTTATATTAAAGATTGGAGCCAGTATAAACTAAGATTTTAAAATATATTTCGGTGTTTAAATTTCGCTTTTTCATATTGAAATAATTCAAATTTATTGTATTATTTAAATTTATTCTTTTATCATTTTTTATTGTTTAATAAAATTTATATTTATTTTGATAATTGAAGAAACTAAACTCATTTTTATTTAATCATAATTTAGATAATTTTTTATTTAATCTAATTTTTACAAACTAATTTTTATAAAATCTTATCTATACATAATTTATATAACTTAATTTAATTTCTATCCAATATAATTTTTTTAAAAAATTAAATTAAAAATAAGTTATTTTTTTTCATCTAATCCCAATAAACCCATATTATTAGATTCTGATTGTCATGTCCAAAGATATCAAACTTGAATTTTGAAAGTCCGTTTGGAAATTAAAGGCAAGATTAATGCTTCCATTTTCTTTGTTAGTCAACAATTAGCGCTTACTTTACAACCTGCATTATTCCGCCATAATCATATCATGTGAAAATATTTCAAAAAACAATCCATTTTATTTATTATTTATTATTAGTATTATTTTGTGTTGATTAGGAGGCTCAAATTTTCGTCGTCTGCAACATAACAGCTTTAGTTAATTGAGCTATGGAAGGGAGGCGCAATTCTAACGACATAGTTGCAGAGCCACTCACGGAAGACAGCAGTGAAGATTGGTTCGAATGGGTTAAGAACTATCTGATATCTCAAGATCTCTGGGAAGTGACAAATAGTAGCGCTAGACCAGACGAAAATCATGTGGAAGATTTTGCTAAATGGAGAAGAAACAATGCTGCAGCATTGCACGTCATCCTTATCTCTTGTGGCCGTCCCAATCACTCCCATATGAAAGGGGTCTCTGAAGCCAAAGATGCATGGGACATTCTCTATGATACCTACAATAATAATGCGCCGGCCTCTGCACCGGCCTCTGCAACGGCCTCTCCTCCAGGTCAGTGCCTTATATAATACCTCCGGTCTTATAGATAAGACCCCGTTTGACTTTTTGTTTGGTCCTAATTATAAGACCCCAATCCATTTTGTCTCTCATATTTATACATTTTTTCCAAGATAGTCCTTCTAATAATGATAGTTCTAGTCAATACACTTAATTAGCAAGGATATTTTAGAAATGACAAAACTTATTTATTACAAATAACTAACTTAACTTACTTCCTTAATCTCCTCAAATAAGTCAACTGGGTCTTATAATTAGGATCGGAGGTAGTATTTCATTAGCTGTATATGTGGAAAAATACTTTGGTAATTAGGGCACCAGCTCTCTCACAAGAGTCATCTCCACAAAATTAATTTACTCAAAATATATGGTCCTTCTTTGTTTGTAAGGCTACTAACAATTCTCTCATTGCCCTCCTACTCAAAATATAATTCAGCGGTGATTACAGAGTTAACGGAGGCAGAAGGATTAGAGATGAGTAATATGCGCACGGCCATAGCTGAAAACAACTGGTCGGCTGCAAAAGCATCCCTTGATCGCTATCCTCAGGTATTGGACGTAGGTTTTGCGAAGTCAGTGGGCGAAACACCTCTTCATGTGGCTGCAAAATTTGGGCATCTGGGCATAGTAGAGGAGCTGCTGAGATTAGTTCCTGAAGAATATCTGGAGATACAAGATGCTTACTATGGCAACACTCCACTTGCAACAGTTGTTTCACAGAGTGAACTCATCCCGGTTGCAGCATGCTTGATCATCAAAAATAAAAAGGCACTTAAAATTCCAACTAAAGACGATTGGGAGATTCCTGTTACCTCGGCTTTTTATTCTGGCCACAAGGAAATGGGACGTTATCTTTATCGTGTCACTCCTTTGGAAGTCTTCCAACCAGGAAACGGCACTGTGGGGCCTGAGTTCCTTCACGCCTGTTTGAGAAGCGGAGAATTAGGTAGCATAACTATTCTTAGATAAATAATTTTATACACAGCGCAATAATATATGCATTTCATTTTCATTTGGGTTAGGGTATGCATAAATTTTTTTTGAAGCAATGTGGCTTCAGAAGCGGCAAACTCGTAGCAATGTCGTCATATTTCAACGGAGTTGAACGGTCAACTGTTAGTTGACCAATTTGTGTTGAGCTGGATCTGCCATATATGATAATACGCCATGTAATAAAAATGAAATACCAAACATGTCCCTTTCTTCTTCCTCCTCCACCACATGTTCTTTGGGAGGAAACCAAAAACAAATGTAGATCTGAATATTTCGGGGCTTACCTTCATTCCTTACTGTTCAAGCTCTTGTTTTGTTCTTGCTTTTATTTTTTTTTTAATATTTCTGGGTTTATATTCATGTTTGCTGTTTGGTTTTGAATTTGGATTTCAAAATCTATTGTGATTTTTTTGTTGATTTTAATTAATGAAGCTGGTAATAGTGAGGCTTGTGTACTTGGAGAGCTACTGTGAAGAGCTGAAGATACCCATAAATATCATAATCAATCCAAATTGCCATTGCTGTGTGAAATTGTGGCCGACACTGATGCTATGCCAGAGTCTCTTTGATGATCTTAAATTTTCTCTGTGACATCCTTGAGTCTCCCGTATGAATGGCATTTCGAAATACTCCAATTAGTTGAGACTTGAGTCTCCTGAAGCAATTAAGAGCAACGATGCGAAGGTTGCTGTAGGTTGTCAAGGAGGATAGTGAGAATAACTAAGATCAGGGGCGCGAATATCTAGAAAGAAGATGAAGAAGCCATGGAATGATCTAAACTAAAATTCTCCATGGTTGCGGATGATGATGATGAAAGGGTAGAGATTTGCATTTTTCTAGATTCGTTTTTCTTCTCATATTGGTTAACTGTTGATCTGGGTTTAAAATTTTTTTATGGGACTGATGATAATGATGCAGGGGAAAGGTTTCTTTTACTTTATTTTTTTCAGTAAGGATTGTGATGATGTGGCATGTTATATGACATAATATTTAATATGATAGATCCACCTCAGTACAAATTGGTCAACGAAAACTTTCAGAACAAAAATGTCATTTTACCCTTTCCATTTTCCCCTGTCAGTTTAGACATGTGGCCTTTTTCCGTTTCTCACACTATATGATGTTGGTGCATAAATAGATATTGCCTTGGATTTGCTCCAGCGATGCAACGAGCTGCTTTTTGCTATTGACGAAGACAAGGAACCAACAATTCAGCATATTGCACGCTATCTTTCTAATTCTCTGTACATAAATCAACTTCCGTTCTGGAAGCGATGGTCGTATCACTGTTAGTGCACATTATTACTTTCTCATACTCTCTGTTTTTCCCTACAATTTTCTTTGTGTTGTTTGCTCATTTTTATTATATACTGGCCAAAATGGTGAATTATGATGATGAGGATAAAGATGGTGAAGATGAAGTTATTTTAATTATCTACTATGGCTCTTTGAAAATTTGGTGAAACGTTTATGAAGTGTTTTCCAAAAATAATGTTGGCAAAATTCCAAAAATACAATTTATGCAATTAACCCTCAATTTGTTGGAAAATATTATCTCTGACTTTATTATTATTTTTTTGCAACTATTATTTCTGACTTTATGTTTCATACAAAACAATCCCTCAATTTATTAGGAGGTGGCGGCAATTAATTGATACTATTTATGTAATTTACTTGTACTTTCTTGTTATTTATTGCAATATTATTCAAAGAAGCTTATGTGTTCCATTTCTTTGATCGCATATGGGTGGAAGATATCAAAATACCATCAACCACAACCACTGGACATTTCTGCGTAGATATTCAGCAAGAAGGCGAGAGCAACCAAGCTGGTCAAGGTACAAAATTCTCTCTCACTTTAGAAGATGAAATTAATTAATATTATATAATTATTATTATAGAACATAGATTATACAACGTGAAGTTACGTTTTTCAATTTATTCATTATACATACCAAAATCCATGTTGACAGGCCTAGGTCTATTCCATTGGCCCATCTCCAGCACCTACAATTTGTTAAGTACGTAAGTGTACCAAAAAGCCCAGAACTTAAATCGGATGCCTTTAATATTTTAATTTGATTTGATTTACGAATGGTGCAGGAATGAAGAAAATATATGAGATGAAGGTGCAGCATGCTAAAGTTCTGAACTTAGTTTGTGAGAATCTGAGACATTTGAATGAAGAAAAGAAGAAAATGTTTGAAAAGGCACTGATATCTGTATCTGAAAAAGAGAATGTTGAGTTTTTGTTGCGGGTAACGAAGGCAGACACAGAATTAATAACACTAGTTAGTTATGGTGGGTCAGACATTTCCATTTTCTTCCATGCTGTTAAATATCGTAGTGCTGAGATTTTCAACCTCCTCCGTGGTTTTCGCTTTAAGAATGTGGTGGCGTCAATAGTTGATGACGAGACCTCAAATACCTTGCTGCATGTGGCAGCCCTATTGGCTCCTTCTTCCTACCTTGACTGCATCTCTGGTGCTGCATTGCAGATGCAAAGAGAGATGCAATGGTTCAAGGTTAGTTAGAAGTGAAATTTAATGCTCTTTCCTTTGATATTGTGTCTTTTATTAATTACTTATTATGTATTTATTTTCTATAAAAATAGGCCGTCAAGAGTGTGGCGGATCGTGAAGATAGGCTACTTCTAAACAAGGACGGGTTTAGGCCTCTAGAGTATTTCAGAAGAAACCACAAAGAGCTGAGGGCTGATGGAGAAAAATGGATGAAAGAAACAGCATCTTCTTGCTCAGTTGTTGGGGCTCTAATTGTTACCATCATGTTTGCTGCAGCTATAACGGTTCCCGGGGGAAACAATCAGAATTCAGGGTACCCAATGTTTATGAAGGAGAAGTTATTTAAAGTCTTTTTAATTTCAGATGCACTTTCCTTGTTTTCTTCCACCACTTCCGTGCTCACATTTTTAGGGATCCTCACGTCGCGCTATACATATGAAGACTTCCTTTGCTCACTACCCAGAAAATTGATAATAGGTCTTTCTACACTTTTTCTATCTATTGCAACTATGATGATTGCCTTTTCAGCAGCCATAATGATCATGTTGCAATATCACTCATCACGTTTATGGGTTATTCTTCCTATTCCTATACTTGCTAGTATTCCAATAACCCTCTTTGTATTATTGCAATTCCGTCTTCTTGTTGAAGTATTTTGGTCTACTTATGGTCCAGGCCTTTTCAAGAAGAAGGTGGTGAGGTGGCCATGAACTGTGTATGTAATTTATTCATATCTTGCTATATATGTATTATTTTCTGTTGAATAAAAATTTTCCTCTTGAAGCTTAATCGGGTAACAATGCAATTACTTATATTCAGAACATAAATATATATATTGATGTAGTTATCCCAAATTATTTAGATTAATTAACTGACAAGACTTGGCTATATATGTGCGGATGAATTATTTATTTTCAACGGGAACAAATTAGACGATGAAATGGGCCCAAACCAAACCAAAGGAGTCACGTGGGCCTAATACATCAGATGGGCCTATGGTACTTTATAACTAAGATTAAGAGCAATTTTAAAGAATGCTGGAAGTCCTTCCAAAAGTTGTTGACTAATCCAGGGCCTAAATTATTTCCAATATTAGGTTCTGTTTTATTAAGATCTATGTAAGTACGTACTTCACATCTTATTACTTCATGTATTTTCTGTCGAGTACTTCACATCTTATTACTTCATGTATTTTCTGTTGAATAAGAAATTTCTGATCCCTTTGAATCTTATCATGTAGAGCGCCATGCATGAACATTGATAATGTTGTGACTATAGCAGGAATACATATGGGCCTATTATAGTTTGAATCCAAACAAGGTTGAACAATTTAAATTTAAATTAATGAAAAGTTTAACTATATTCATGAGCATTTTTTCATCAATAATAAGAAATAAAGTTATGGTCGAGATTTTTTAAATTCAAATTGAAGAGATCAAAATCATCAATGCAATAAGACATAAAACTTTATATTCTTTTTAAAAATATTCAATGAATTAATATGACAAAAAATTACTATCATTCCTTGGCTCTCTCTGTGTGTGACAGAGAGTACCCCGTCAAATTAAAGCCTCAAAAATCAAGCTGCCAATGATCATTCCTTTCAAGGTATCTTGATGACTGTTTTCATAGGTTTCGCATGTATGGAGAATGTAAAAAGTACCGCTAATTATTCCATCTAACTAGATAGGGTCTTGCAATTATGGGGTTGTTAGTAACAGATTTTTCAGAAAATTAAAAAAGGCAATATGATAATTTTAATAAACTTTAAAATTCCTATTTGTACCTATTTCATTTTTCAGGTAACTATGTGGAGATTTTTAAATTTAACTATCATTTTCTCAAATTTCAATAGTGCAAAAAGCTAGAGTTTAATTTTTTTAAAAATTCAAATTTTTTTCCAACTTTTTTAAATTCAAATTTATGAGATTAAAATTATTAATATATAAGATTTATTAAAATCTTCAATTAATTAACATGGCAAAATCACAATCTGGTCGCGACAGAGAGAGAGAGAGAGAGACCGAGGCCTCGTCTCATCAAACAGCCATCGCAAGCATGGCAGATCTGAAGGGCCCCACAGTTACTATTTTTTTTTTTAGTAGGGAGGAGGAGCCCCGCAGTTACTATTGTGTGGTTCCTATCACCGTACATCATGTGGTTCACGCTCTTTATGACCGTTACACATGCATGAGGGCCGAGCGCAGGTGTACGTACAAATGTAGTGAAATTATTAAGAAAATTACGATCAAATCCCCAAAAAAAAATAATTAATAAAATTTTTTAGTGATAACTTAAAAAACTTATAATAACAAATTTCAGAGTAAAAAATAACAATTTTTAAAATTTGTTTTGTAATTATCTTTTTTTTTCTTAGAATTTTATTTTAATTCTCCCGAAATTATTTCCTTTGGGGAGCAGCACCTTTTGTATGAGAACAACATATTCTCATCCTCTAGTTCACACGAGATATAACGATCTCCCCTTCATTTTAAGGTAATTGTCACTTTAATTTGGAGTTATGTGTAAATACCCTGATGTTACCAAAATGAGAGAGCAAGAGAGTAGAAGGAATAGTAAGACGAAATTGGGAGAGAGAACAATTGAGTTTTCTCCTCCCCCCGGGGCCAATGCACATGACTTCAACTTATATATTAATAATTTATTCATGTGCTTTTAACAGTAAAATTTGAAGTGATTATAAAGAAAGAAGCATCATTTCCTTTTGTTAATCTCTGAATTTTTCAATACATTTTTTCTCAAGCTTTTGGTTTTTTTTTTTTTTGATGCATTTGTGCATATATTGAATACTCAAAGATAGGAAAATGTGCATGGTGTTTTTTGGTTGCACATCATTGCCCCCTTACCTAAAGAACTCCAACCAAAACTTCATCGTATGATTGCTTCACTCCAAAGAGAAGTATCTCAACTTACTCTTGGAGGAATTTAATCCGTGTTATTTATGAGCTTATGGAGTTACTCTATTGCAAAGTATATTTTGATATAAGGATTAAATGTCAAGTCACTTCGAAAGCCTTTCAAAGCATTTGAGGATCAAGGTTGCTTTATGAATACATTATGGAGATCAAAGAAGAATTATCAGAGACCAAAACATGGATTGAAATCCTTATTTAATTTGAGTTAGAAGAACTTAATTTTCTAGAAGCAAAGTGTGTTGCAGCGCACTTTGACTTGCCTGTAACCCAACTCAAATAGAGGTAAATTCATCTACAACGCAAAACTTGTTGTGGTGCATTCACTGATAGCAAAATGCATAGCTCAACTAACGTTGATGAAAATTTTAGATTTTAAGGCCACATTTCAACCTTGGACATCATTTTACACTTACTGGGCATTCTTGGGAGCTTTGTGTGCTTGAAAAGTTTGGAGCAGGGGATTAAGATTTGGAAGAGATTTGAAACTTCATCTTCTTGGTTTCTCTATTTCTCCTCCCATTCCTCTCTTCCAATTTGCTATGGCTATGATTTCCCCTTGTAGTTATGGCTTGTGGTTGATTATGAGTAGCTAAATACTTTGCTCTAGATTTGTTTTGAATCTTTGTATAGATTAACTCTTGATTACTCCTCTCTTTTTGTAATTATTGATATAGATTTTACTCTTTGCTTAATGTTTCTAAGTGTTTGATTACTATTTAATTAGATATTTTGTTCATTTGATTGATGCTTGAGAGAGTTAGATTGAGTGTATAACTTGGATCAAATTGTGATAAAGTTTGCATGTTGAATGGTGGTTTTGTTGGTACAGAGATATATTTGCCAGCTTTGCATGGTCACATTAGGGTTGGAGCTTAAAATTGGATTTTATTAACTATAACAAAAAATTGAGCAATTAATAGAATTAAACACTTGTTCTTGACTTGTTAGGGCATTTACAAGTACTTTTTAAATGTTAAGAGTAACACTTATTTTCATTAAAATAAAACATCCACGAGAGGAAATAAATTGAAGGTTATGATACACAAAACGGATAAACAATCCTAGGTCGCTTTTAATCTTTGAAGTCAAAGAATACATTATATTGTTGTTATCAATTTCTAGTTTTAAAAATAGTTTTCAAAATTCCTACTACTGATAAAAAAATTTTCTTGCTTCACCTTAGTTGAATTCACTTAGTCTGTTGTCTGGCTTTTATTTTTACATAAATTTCTGTGAGAATGATTTTTTTTCCCTTATCACTGTGTTACTTATCACGATCCATGCATTTATGGTGCCAACACCTTCTACCATTCAAAAGGCAAAAATTAAAGTGATTATAAAGAAGGAAAAATTCCAGAAAAAGCCCTTGGAATAGGAAATTCCAGATTGGGTCCTGGAATTTCGAAAATGACAGAAAGGGTCATTGATCCAATCTGTCATTTGTGAAATTAAGACGAATTGACAATTTTGCCCCTGGCTAAGCAAAAGTGAGTAGTTATTCTCTAAACAAATTTAGGTAACGCTTACACTGTTCTAGTGATTACAATATTAGTTATAGTTAATAATAAGGTACCTGACTATGAAAAAGTGTGTAGTTATTCTTTACACGAATCTAGGTAATGCTTACATTATTTTAGTGATTACAAAATTAGTTGTAGTTAATAACAAAACACCTGACTATGAAAAAGTGAGTAGTTATTCGCTACACGAATCTAGATAACGCTTAAACCCTTATAGTGATTCCTTAAATCAATGTAGTGAATGAATACAAATGAGGGCAAAGTTGTCAATTCCTCTTGATTTTACAAATAACAAATTGGGTCACTGACTCTTTCTGTCATTTTCGAAATTCTAGGACCCAATCTGAAATTTTCTATATTCCAAGGACCTTTTTTGGAATTTTCCCTATAAAGAATGTTTGATATAGTTTGCAAAATAATAAGAAACTTTTAACGACATAATTAATTACATACAGCTAATTCCGTTAATTTTTTGCCAGACAGTTAATTATGTTAATATCCTATTACTAATTTTTACAATAATAAAAATTTTATATTATTATGCTAAGTTGTGGGTGATTAAAATAATTACATACATGTGATGTGTTCAAATAATTATATATAAATTCATGCATTTTTGAGTTCTTTTAGTGTGCTTAATGGTTATAAATTACACTATTGATGAATAGATATTTATTAAGAATAATGCATGAATTAATAAGAAAATGGGTAAAAATGTTACTACTTTGATGATTATTTAGATATATGGTATTACAATATGTTTATACGGTATTACAGGGTATTTTGGTCAATTTGGAGAAATTGGAAAAATCACAAAAGAGGACTTCAGATTTATTTTTTTTCAAAAAAGTACAACTATGCGTTTTAATTTAGGGCTTGGGGGTATCATCATCATCGTCATCTTCTCACGCAAGGGAACTGGGGAGCAGGAGGGAGAACGGCGGCAAGGATTGATTTTCTTCATCAGCATCCCTTACACCACACGCAGACACCAAAGGAGGACCGTAGACAAACCCACACGCGAGCCAAAGGAGGACCATAGACACACGCGCGCGCGAGCCACCCTCAGCACCCATCATCGGCGCAGCATCATCATCCCCGGCCTTCACTGTCAGCGACGCAGCGTGGAGAGACAGAGAGACGCGAGGAGGACAGTAAGCAGCGACCTTCAACCATCAACGCCGGCGAGCTCTATCTCTACTTCCGTTATTGCCTTCGGCCTGACAGCATCGTGTTTCTGATTCCTTCCCATGGCCACTCTGCAATTCAAATCTGTGTCAGCAAAATTTGAAACCATGCGTACCTAATTTTAACAAGCTTCTTGGAGACGGAGGATATGGAGTATTGGGTTTGAGCTTGGAGTTAAGCAGGGGGTTTTTCTATTTCAATTCCTTTAATTTAATTAAGTAATAGATTTTTTGAGTTGGAATTGATATTATTTGATTAAATTTTGTGAGATTATTGGTTATATTTCTTAGTTTATGATTGAATTTTTGTGATTGTGATTGGGTTATGTAGTTTGAGACTTATATATATATATATATATATATATTGTGTTTGAAGTCTACGTGGTTATGTTATTCTTTCATAATTTGGATATTTGTTAAATATCTCAAGTTAAGTATTTTTTTGTATAGGGAACCAAATTGTATTAATCTGGCATACTAATTGGTGTTTAATGGTTTTTTTTTTTTGATTGAAAGTTTAATGGTATTTTTAATTGGCAGTTGTAGCTAGAGTTCTAAGACATCTATTCAAGGATAACCCAATTTCCATTTTACAAGCATTCTCTTATATTTCTCTAACATCCAAATTTTTATCATTTGCTATTTTCTTTAAGTAATTTTCTTTCATTTTAAATTTTAAATCACCTTTTCATTTTCTTTCTATATAAAAGAAAATTTCCAAAAAAAAAAGCATTTATAATTGTTTTTTATTTATTTGCAGAATAGATTTTAATTTTTTATTTTAAAATAAAAAGACAAAAAAAAAACCTCTTTTACCAGCAGTTTTGATTTTTAATTAATTTACGACCTAGTTAAGTTTTAGGTTCTAATAAGAGAACAACTTTAGTTTGCATCACTATATTACATTCTAAATTAAATTTAATTTGACTCCCAAGATGACATGAGGATGAATATGTTGAGTTTGTTCAAGTCCAAGCAGGAGAATGGAATCACTATCCGTTTCTTCTTTCTCAATTATATCCTTCTTTCCATTTTTAATAAAAAAGCTATTTAACTAATTTCAATAAATTAAAAAATAAAATAAAATAGTTAATTATGATAAATGTAATTTGATGTCCCTAACATACTCATATATAACATTAGATTATTTATGGGCTTATACATGTTATGCAAATTAGTTTGAAAAAAATAAATAAAAATGAGAGATAAATACATTGTAATAATATCTTTAGAACCAGATTCAATCTCTAGCTAACTTTTATATTAGCAATTGGACAGAGTATTAAATGCCGTAAACAATACCGCTGGCCAAAAAAAAAAAAGTCTTAAACCATAAAAACACCTAGGGAAAACGGCTATGGATATACAATGTGCGAAGAGTTTGTGAAATGTGAGAGCTAGCTGCAAAAGAAGTAAACAAGCCATTGCCACCACTAGTAAGCGTAACTATTGTTTTGTTTCTTTGGATGCAATGTGTATTTTAATTTCTCAAACTACGAGAATTAGTGACTACAGTGAAGAGGAGAGACGTAGAAGATTTAGATACGGTTATTATGTCTAATTAAGTATGATATCAATGTGTTAAAAGCGTGACCAAAAAGATCAGAGAGTCACATGAGAGAATAATAAAATACTCTTCCAATCCTTAATATAAGACCTATTTAATTAATTTGATTAGATTAAGAAAGTTATATAAGTTAGTTAATTATAAGAAATATGACATGTTTTTCTTAAAACATCATAATCATCTTTCTTAATATCCTTCCTCCCTCACTTACTTGATTATGGTTGAGAGAGTATTCATAAGGGTAATTTAGAGAAAATTGATAAATATGATAAATGGGTCTTATATTTAAAACCAAAACCAACTCAATAATTGAGTTTTATATTAAAAACATATGATTAATGATTCTATCCCACTAGCCTACCATCGTGGAAGAAAAAGAGCAGCTGACGGCTGACGCTACAGAGACAATCTTTAGTGCAAGCCACGCACCCCGGACTCTTCTGTTCCATTCTTAGAAAGGGGTAGTCGGCGAGCCAGAGTGAAATATATTACCGTGTTCTTGACCCCCTCCCCCCAAAAAAAAATCACAACATCTTAAGTTACTTATGATGTTTGGATAATCCCAAAATCATAAATGGAAGTAAATTTTTTTTCATATTTACTTCATATATTATAAAAATATTTTTAAAATCATGGTTTTATTTTTATCCTTCTAACATCATTTCGGGCTACTACTGAAAAGGCCAAAAGTAACTGGTAAAACAAAAACAAAAAAAAGCAAAAGGCAAAAAGTAAAGTGACTATAAAGAATGTTTCAGAAATAATTAGAATAATTTTGGAAAAATTGTAAACAAGATTTGTATAGATTCTGATAACAATTAAATGACAAATAACAACAAACTCTTGACAAAATATCTGATTTGTAATTTCCCAATTTGCACCGTCTTTTTTTTTTGTGATTTTCCAAAAAAATTTTGTCACATTCTCCGCTCAACCTATCTGTTTATAAGATAAAGAGAAATTTTTTTTAATTCTACTGATACTTTATTAAATTTTTAGTATAAATATATTATTTTGTCTATTATTTATTACAGTGTAGATAGTTATTTTTTAAAATATAGTATTTATATTAAATAGTAATAATATTAAAAAATTATTATATTTTAAAAGATAAGTTAATACAGTTTAAGATTTTCTTTTAATTTATTTTTTTGGGTGAACTGTGAATTTTAATTTCTCAATCTGCAAGAATTGGTGATTATAGTGATGAGGAGAGAGAGGCGCAAGATTTAGATATGGGTGTTGTGTTTAAGTTTAAATCATGGTAGGATCATATTATTCTTTTTAAAGAGTAACTTTTGGGTATCATGGCTCAGGAATTTAAATTAAAGATCAACAATAAATTTTTGTTATTTTTAATTACTACCTCTAATTTTTAATATAAGAGCTAATTGAATAATTGAGTAGATTAAAAAAACTAGTTAAGTTAGTTATTTGTAATAAATATGTATTATATTTTCTAAAATATCCTTGCTAATCAAATGTATTGACTAGAACTACCATTATTATAAGGATCATCTTAAAAAAAAGAGATAAATATAAGAGATAAAGTGAGTTGAGATTTTATAATTAAAACCAAAATAAAAGCCAAACGAGTTTTTACATCAAGTGTAGTCCATGAATGAAGGGATAGATCATTCCCCCACATATGTTTGTCAGATTGGAGTTGCCTTGTTGGAACCACAGGAAACAATTTAAGTTGTTTAATACCCAGAATTCGTCTGCACAATTCAAACTTTTGGCGCAACGACATGGGAAAGCCAATAGATTCAGAGTGGTGAGATCTATAATTGGAACTCAGTAGCTTGAATAATCGGAATTGTAAGCCCAACATATGCATAGAGTTACAAGATAAGATAGTTAAGGGAAAGACCAAACTGGAATTTGAAGGGTCACTAGTATGGCTAAAAGCTTGCGAAAAGCGAAAGTTGATTTTGGTTAAGGAACAGTGCAAGACCACACCATTAATTAACTAAGATAACCTAATTTTTTTCTTGGTACTGAGAAGTTTGAGGGTTTATCAAGATCAGAATATACTTCCAGACTCATAAAGTATTTAAAAGATACTTACAGATCATCTATTAACAAAATCCTTATATTGATAGTGGGATTTAAACTCATAATCTTACAAGTTATGAACCGATTTTATACTAGTTAAACCAATTATTGTTAGGAAAATAACGTTATTTAGTTAATTGTCCTCACGGAAAGCCCAAGACAGACATAAGATGGGCCCACCGAGCAAAGTGGATCCATTTAAATTTAAATCAGTCAAACAGTCCAGTAAATATGTGGAGAAGATTATCTCGTTTGGATAGATATCATCAAGAGCATTTTCTAAAATCCGTATCCCGCGGCCTAAGCCTTATCTCGTTCATAGTCATTAGTCAACATGAAGTACGGTGATGGTCCCATGGCCATGTACGGACTATTGTGTGGTCATTGTCACCCGACATTGTAGGGAAATTATTCCATGGGGGACATATATTCTGATAATCTCATCCTCTTGTTCATGTCATTTCAAGATAATTGTCTCTTCTTTTTTTTTTTGACCAGCAAAGATAATTGTCATTAATGACTCTACCCCGCTGGTTAAAAAAAAAAACAAAGACTCTACCCCACTAGCCTACCATCGTGGAAGAAAAAGCAGCCGACTCCTGACGTTACAGGGACAACATTTAGTGCCAGCCACGTACCCTTGAATCTATTACCGTGCCCTTGAATCTCCCGCCCAACAATCATAACATCTTAGGTTTTCCAGGGGATGCGTGGGTAATTCAAAAATATTTTTAAAAAGTATTTTCTTTTATAAATTAAAGTAAATTTCATTACATATTTATTTCATATACTATAAAAATATTTTTAAAATTATGATTTTGTTTCTATCCTTCTAACATTATTTCCGTTATTTCCGGCCACCACTCAAAAGGCAAAAACTAACTGGTCAAAAAAATAAAAAAAGCAAAAGGCAAAAAGTAAAGTGACAATAAAGAATGTTTCAGAAATAATTAGGAAAATTTTGAAAAAATTACACACAAAAAAAACTGTGAAAATTGTGAAATTATAAATCGGGGACCTGTTACAAGATTTGTATAGATTCTGATAACAATTAAATGACAAATAACAACAAACTCTTGACAAAATATCTGATTTGTAATTTCCCAATTTTCACCGTCCTTTTTTTTTTTTTAATTTTCCAAAAAATTTGTCACATTCTCAGCTCAACCTATCTGTTTATAAGATAAAGAGAAATTTTTTTTAATTCTATTGATACTTTATTAAATTTTTAGCATAAATATACTATTTTGTCTATTATTTATTACAGTATAGATAGTTATTTTTTAAAATATAGTATTTATATTAAATAGAAATAATATTAAAAAATTATTATATTTTAAAAGATGATTTAACGCAGCTTAAGATTTTCTTTTAATTTGTTTTTGTTTTTAGGTGAATTGTGTATTTTAATTTCTCAATCTGCAAGAATTGGTGATTATAGTGATGAGGAGAGAGAGGCGCAAGATTTAGATATGGGTGTTGTGTTTAAGTTTAAATCATGGTAGGGCACTTTGTGATTGTGTAATAATTCTCTACGTTCAGACATAAAATGGGGGCTCAGAAGATATAGAAAAGCTATTTGCTTCTCGCGAAGTGCTTACCTTACTTTACATCCTGGATTACGCCAAATGGACGGATTATCTTATACATTATTGGATCGGCCGATCCGAAATATAGATATGATTAATGCTTACCTTTTCCTTTTTGGTCAAAGATTAGCGCTTACTTTACAAAACCCCAGAAGACAGAAGCGGCTATATTACAGAGGGTATCATCACTGTCGATCAGCAACAACAGCTTCAATCGAGTTGAGTTATGGAAAGGAGACACAATTTTAACGACATAGTTGCAGAGCCACTCGTGAAGAACACCAGAAAAGATTGGTTTGAATGGGTTCAGAACTATCTAATATCTCAAGATCTTTGGGAAGTGATGAGTAGTATCGCAAGACCAGACGAAAATGACGTGGAAGATTTTGGCAGATGGAGAAGAAAGAATGCCGCAGCATTGCATGTCATTCGCATCTCTTGCGGTCCTAAGAATGAAAGATGCATGGGACATTCTCTATCGTACCTACAATAATAATGCACCAAGCTCTCCACTCCGAGGTCAGTGCTTTACGTTATACAAATCAGAATCTCGCTGTTTGTTATTTAGGAAGTGGATTAAGTGAGAATAGAGAGCTAAAACTCAGGCTTGTTTGGTGCGCGTGATTCCCACCTTCAAGGATGGAACCATGCGACTCTTCTCTCCTGACTTGTTGATCTCCCGATCTCATGAAAGCTTGGATAGATTGAGCTTTCTTATTGTCTGTGATGGCCAAGTTAAATCCCTCTCCCTCTTCTCTCTGTTCCCCATATCCACCCCATTTCACATCAAATTGACAACAAACCTCAATAAACTTCATTTTTGCATAAGAACTTCTGCAATTATATATAATGAAGGAGTTCAATTCACGTACAGAGAAATCCCTTGACATACAAGGACTCATCTGCACATACACACAGTAAAAGATTTAGGAATCTGAAAGTCCAAAACATACATACATACATGCATGCATAGTTATATGAACAGCCCTACTGCTTTAATTTACTTACGTATATAAATGAGATAGGCCCCATTTGGTATGCCTGAAGTTTTTAAAATTGCACAAGTTGGCGCAAGATAGGTGCACTTTGATTGACCATCCTCGGTATCTTTTGTCGAGATTCATACTCAAGTTGTAACTCTTTAAATCGTTTCTTTTCTACAACTTTATCAAATCTCTTGAAGAATCGATTAATATCTAATTTTAGCTTTGTGCATCTCTTCACCTCAGCATTCACACTTTCACTAACCTGTGTGCTTCTCATACCTAGTGTGAAGACATCTTTCATATAACACCTGGCCCATTTCTCCTTAATATTGTAAGTGGAGTTCAACCATCCATTTTCATGGACATTGTAAGAAGATAACAATTTACTCCAGGCTTCTTCAAATTTATCCACTTGGACATAATCAAACATACATTTTTTGAAGTTAGTCAAAAAGTGTGAACCTTCTTTCATCAAGTTCCCAAGGTGTTTAATGCCATTTTGTAATAAATGCCAAGTGCACAAACAATGTCTTGTATTAGGAAGTACTTCACTCAATGCTCTAGCCATAGCTTGATCCTGGTCAGTAAACACTGTTTGAGGCTTGTTTTGTGTGTGAGCATCTAAGAAAGTTTCCAACAGCCACTCAAAAGACTCAATGGTCTCATCATATAACAACGCTGCTCCAAAAATAACCGCACTTCTATGATGGTTAAAACCAGAAAAAAGTGCAAGGGGCCGATGATCCCTGTTTGTATTATATGTCGTGTCTAGTGATACAACCTCACCAAAATGTGCATAATCTTTTAACATACGAGCATCTGCCCAAAACACATTGGTAACTTGTTGTTCCATATCCAATTGGTATTTGTGATAAAATGAAGGATTTTCAGCAATTCGTTTTTGAAAATATTCAAGAAGACATCCCACCTCTCCAAACTTTATATGCTTTCGCCTTTTCTTCATCAAGTAGTTCCTTGCATCTATCATGGTATAACCAAGATTTTCTTGACCACCAACATATGTACTCATTAAGTCAAAAGCTTCCTTAGGTTCAAGCCCATATTCTTCTGCAAGATCTACTTCATGAGTTTGAACTTCTAATAAATTTCTCTGTGATGGTAACAAGTGCACTGTTTCTTGTGTATGAAGAGGGTGATTGTGTTCTTCATTAAACTTGGTGATTTTGAATTTTTCATCTATACAAGATACAACCATTCTTGTCTTGCAATTGGTTCTTATCTCAGGCTGATATCTAGAAGTGGTTGTCTCTCTTCTATCTTTTTTCCGAATACCCTCCTTACAACATACATATCTATATGTAATAATGGAACCATCTTTTTTACTCTTTGTTCCATTATACTTTCTAACTCCAAATCCAATTTTACTCCCATATTCATTCCAAAAGTTCCAGGCTTCATCTAGACTTTCAAACTCTCTCCCTATTTCGAGTTTAAATTCATCTTCCATGATATGGTTCCTATAGATGATAAATATATCACAATTTAAAAAATATCATCAATAGGAATTTGGAATTTTATGAACTCCAAATATACAAAAAAAGAATGATCAATTTTCAAATACCATTCTTCAAACAAAAATATAAACACAAGTTATAGGTTACTCACATAATAACATTAACAAGCTAAATCAGAAAACAAAACCATCTAAAGCCACTTTAAATTTCAATTATATATAATATATATAATAATAATAACCTGCATATGACCCCATTTTAATATATATGAAAATATATAAATAAGATTGTTAGAGAACGCAAAAAAGATGGAAGATAAGAAACCTTTGATGCTTTCTTCTCGCAAAGGTCTGAAATCTGATGCCTTCTTCAATCTGAAATTTTTTCTGTACCGAAATTCAACTTTTTTCTCACCGAAATTCAGTTTTTTTTCCAATTTTCAATGGCACCAAGTGCGGTAATTCGCTTTCTCTTGTGGCGGCTGGAACAACAAATATTTTCCCTAGGAGCGCAGCAGAAGCGATTTTGTTTTGGAGTGTACAGGTTATTTTTTTTTATTTAATGAAACGGTGCGCATAGGAGATGAGCTATCGGTGCTCATCTCCCGCTGAGCAGGGAAACACGTTCCGTCAGATTGGAGTTGCCTTGTTGGAACCACAGGAAACAATTTAAATTGTTTAATACCCAGACTTCGTCCGCACAATTCAAACTTTCGGCGGAACGACATTGGAAAACCAATAGATTCAGAGTGGTGAGATATATAATTGGAACTCAGTAACTTGAATAATCGGAATTGTAAGCCCAACATATCCATAGAGTTGCAAGAGAAGGTAGTTAAGGGAAAGACCAAACTGGAATTCTGAAGGGTCACTAGTATGGCTAAAAGCTTGCGAAAGGCGAAAGTTGATTTTGGTTAAGGAACAGTGCAAGACCACACCATTAATTAACTAAGATAACCTAATTTTTTCTTGGTACTGAGAAGTTTGAGGGTTTATCAAGATCAAAATATACTTCCAGACTCATAAAGTATTTATAAAGATATTTACAGATCATCTATTAACAAAATTCTCATATTGATAGTGAGATTTAAACTCATAATCTTACGAGTTATGAACCAATTTCTTACTAGTTAAACCAATTATTGTTAGTAAAATAACGTCATTTAGTTAATTGTTCTCACGGAAAGCCCAAGACGGACATAAGATGGGCCCGCCGAGCAAAGTGGATCCATTTAAATTTAAAGTGGATCCATTTAAATTTAAATCAGTTAAATAGTCCAGTTTTATTCACGAGCCTTAGCCTTATCTAGTTCATAGTCCTTAGTCAACATGAAGTACGGTGATGGTCCCATGGCCATGTACGGACTATTGTGTGGTCATTGTCACCGGACATTATGAGGCCGCTTTACGGCGACGTGACCTATATAGGGAAATTATTCCATGGGGGACACATATTCTGATATTCTCATCCTCTTGTTCATGTCATTTCAAGATAATTGTCTGTTTTTTTTTTTACCGGCGAAGATAATTGTCCCTTTATGCATGCTGATTTAAGTCAATATATATTACTCCTCTTGTCTTATTTATAAAGCACTTTCAACATATTTTATACAGATCAAGAAAAATTTTAAACTTTATTAACTCTCATTTAAAATTTAATGACTTTTCAACTTTATCCCTATTTAATATACATTATACTTCATATAAATAAAGTCAACACAATAATAAATGAAAGGGTAAAATTGTATATCCATATAAAAAATTTCTATCAGTACCCTATAAATAAGATAAAAAATACCTTTTCTTTCTGTTCTATAAATAAGATTAGAAGAGTATATGATTAATGACTCTGCCCGGCTGGTAAAAAAAAAAGACTCTACCCCACTAGCCTACCATCGTGGAAGAAAAAAAGCAGCCGACTCCTGACGTTACAGAGACAATATTTAGTGCAAGCCACGTACCCCGGACTTTTTTGTTTCCGTTCTTTGAAGGGGCTAGTCGGCGAGCCAGTGTGAATTATATTACCGTGCCCTTGAATCTCCCGCCCAACAAAAATAAAAAAAGCAAAAGGCAAAAAGTAAAGTGACAATAAAGAATGTTTTAGAAATAATTAGAAAAATTTTGGAAAAATTGCACAAAAAAACTGTGAAAATTGTGAAATTAATTATAAATCGGGGACCTGTTACAAGGGTTGTATAGATTCTGATAACAATTAAATGACAAATAACAACAAACTCTTGACAAGATATAGAAAAACTATTTGCTTCTCGCGAAGTGCTTACCTTACTTTACATCCTGGATTACGCCAAATGGACGGATTGTCTTATACATCATTGGATCGGCCGATCCGAAATAGAGATATGATTAATGCTTACCTTTTCCTTTTTGGTCAAAGATTAGCGCTTACTTTACAAAACCCCAGAAGACAGAAGCGGCTATATTACACAGGGTATCATCACTGTGGATCAGCAACAACAGGTTCAATTGAGTTGAGTTATGGAAAGGAGGAGCAATTTTAACGATATAGTTGCAGAGCCACTCGCGAAGAACAGCAAAAAAGATTGGTTTGAATGGGTTGAGAACTATCTAATATCTCAAGATCTTTGGGAAGTGACGAGTAGTATCGCAAGGCCAGACGAAAATGACGTGGAAGATTTTGGCAGATGGAGAAGAAAGAATGCCGCAGCATTGCATGTCATTCGCATCTCTTGCGGTCCTAAGAATCACTCTCACTTAAGAGGGGTCTCTGAAGCCAAAGATGCATGGGACATTCTCTATCGTACCTACAATAATAATGCACCAAGCTCTCCACCCCAAGGTCAGTGCTTTACCTTATACAAATCAGAATCTCGCTGTTTGTTATTTAGGAAGTGGATTAAGTGAGAATAGAGAGCTAAAACTTGGGCTTGTTTGGTGCGCATGATTCCCACCTTCAAGGATGGAACCATGCGACTCTTCTCTCCTGACTTGTTGATCTCCCGATCTCATGAAAGCTTGGATAGATTGAGCTTTCTTATTGTCTGTGATGACCAAGTTAAATCCCTCTCCCTCTTCTCTCTCTCTTCCCCATATCCACCCCATTTCACATCAAATTGACAATAAACCCCAATAAACTTCATTTTCGCATAAGAACTTCTGGAATTATATATAATGAAGGAGTTCAATTCACGTACAGAGAAATCCCTTGACATACAAGGACTCATCTGCACATACACAGAGTCAAAAATTTAGGAATATGAAAGCCCAAAACATACATACATGCATACATAGTTATATGAACAGCCCTACTGCTTTAATTTACTTACGTAGATAAATGAGATAGGCCCCATTTTCCATGCCTGAAGTTTTTAGCGGAAATGATAAGGTTTCGTTTCAAGAGATGCTTGGTTTGCCAGCTAGGACATAGGCGGGAAAACGGGTCAGCTCTTGATGAGCTCGGGTCTAAAAGCTACCTTGCCCTAAAACATCCCTAATGTTGAAGCCCGGACCTTGAACTCTCGGGTATCGCCTGACCCACAAGTTCTAAGCCCTTTTAAAATTTTCAATACTTTTTACTTATTTTCAAATAGATAAAAATAAAAAAAAAGATCTGATGAAAATTCAATTTAACTAATAAATGTAAGTAAACTAGAGTGCCGAATTAAGTCTAAATAAATAACCAAAACTAAATCAAATCAACCAGTTATCCTGAATGCGAGTACACGTAGAAATTGAGCATATAATGTATAAAAGATTATAATAATTTCAAATAAATACTAGCTGAAAAAATGAACAAATATAATTATCAAAATGGTAGACATATAACACAAATGGGAGAAAATAATAGTATGAGCTAAAACATGTTGATGTTTGATGGATTTGGACTTAAAAAGGCTGGTTCTAAAAGCCATTTATGTTAAAATCATTTTTTTTAAGAGGCCCAACTCTCAATTTAAATAGATTTAAACAGGATCCATCTGTTTTCCTGGTTCTAGAGAGAAGATGAAGAAGGTCAAGAAAATAGTAATTCTTATTCAATCATATCAAAAGCTTCGTACAATCCTACCTCTATTCATAAAGCACTATAAATAATAGGATAATAATGGTTCTGATTCAAATCTAAATCTTAATCCTAAAATAGGAAAGATAATTTTAGGATACCCTAGATATCCTGTTATTTAAAATATTACATAATATTAAAATATAAATAATTGATAGGCATAAAATATAAAACTTATTTCACAATTTTAATAAAGAGTGAATAAAATATCATCCTTAGGAGGATTCGATGCCAACAGCCTGCTTAAGCATCAACATTACACTTTCACTTAATTTAAGTAAAACACAATTTGGAACATGATAAACCAAAAATGAAATCTAACTAGAACAGGAAAACAACTCTAAGTTATACTTAAGACTACGAGTAAATCTAAACTGCGAATGTAGTGACTTGGATTGTTATCGTCATGATCACTTCTTTTTGTCTAATTTCTCTCTTTAACTGCAGTTAAAGCTATATTTGGCCTGATTTACTTAGAATGTTCAAAGTTTTTTCTAGTGTCTATTTTGTACTCAGAACCTTAGTTTACTCCATAGGCTGTTTTATTGTTTGCTTACTAACCATATGGACTTTGTATTTTAATTGTCTTTTTATCCCAAAAAAAGAAGCTATATTTGTTAGTATAGAACTCTTAATTACCTAATAGTATCTTCCGAATCGGTAAAAGGCATTCCAACTATGTTAATCTCTAATTCCTTAGGTGATTACTTAGTCATACTAGCTATCAGACCAAATTGAGTGCCAGCCTAATGTGACTACATAGGGCCAATATGTATATGTATTTTTATTCTACAAGCAAATCAAGTTATTCAGTGCTTAAACACTCACTCAATTCTACGCGATTATTCAATTAAAGGTCTAATCTAAATTCCCTATGCCTAGCTAGGCTCCTTTAGAATATCAAGATCTGTCCCAATTGGATTTCTCATCTTTCAGGATAATCAAGCGCACAATTGAATTAACAAACATAACATTAAAGCACCTAAATATTAAAATTATCATCCACTAATCCATAATCAAACTATAATAATCCATAGTTAAGGTTTAGTTACAATAATTGAACATTCTCGTGAACAAATACAGAGCAAACCAAGCTTGAAATCATATAAAAATATCCAATTTTACTTGGTGACTCCCCAAAATACCCAAATTTATCTCAAATCTAACAAAAAATGGCGAGCTATCAATAATCTAATAAATCCTAATATAATGGATAAATATCTTTTTTTTAATAATCCTACTACATAACCCTAGATATCTAATTAAACCTAGAGAAAACTTAAGTCAAGTTAATTAGGTCCATTATATTCAGTTAGCCACTGAGATTATGTCACCTGTGTTAGCATTACACATCATTACTTAACCTAAGAAACCATCGTTTAATTGTAACGGGTAGGGTTTCAATTATCATCAAGCAGACCTTCCTAAGAAGGATTCAGTTTGATAGTCATCTTGCTGTGTGCACGGTTTTCTATAGATGCAACCATACAAGCAAAGCACAAGGGCCTCTTATCAGTTCTTTCCCTTTTCTTATAAGCCTCCTATGAACTTTTCTGCTTCGACCAAAATCAATTTTTTCTTTTGCCTTCCTCTTATCCACCGTTTTCATCCACTCGTTGCAAATTTACATAACCAACTTCCAATGCAGCTCAAAACTCAGCACCCTCTCTCTTAGTGTATTGCATTTTTGTTGTTGTGTGGTTACAACATGTTTTCCTTTGATTAGGCTACCCCTCTTATAAGAAAGCACAATTTTTTCACATTTGCTTCTTCCTCTCTGCATCTTTCCGCACAAGTCTGATTCTTCCTCTCTTCTTCTCACTCTTCTCTTCTGCTGCTTCGTCTTAGCACCTTTCATTGGCTTCTCTTTCAATCTGCTCCATTTGTGCAAGTTTCTCGTCTCAGCATTCCTCTGATTTCTTTCTTTCAGTTTTCCCCCTTTTTTCTTATTTCATTCTTTTCCTTCCAATCTATGCACCACTCTAAATTTCGTTGACCTTTCTTTTCAATTTTCAAAGGGGATTGACCTCCAGAATTATGCTTGCTTCACTTACTGACACTCTAGAGTTCTTGGATTTTGCCTTTGCGTTTGCCCTTGCATTTACTCACATGACTTGCCAACTATATCGAACTGAATAGTGAATCCTTCCAAGGAAGGATTCCTGGGTTTGGCTTGACGATGATTGGAACCCGACACGTTACAAATAAACAGTTGTTTCACAGGTTAAGTGACGTGAAACAGTAATACAGGTGGCATAATCTCAGTGGCTAATTGGACATAATGAACCTAATTAACTTGACCTAAGTTTTCTCCATTAAACCCTAATCAACCATTATTCCCATATTCCTTGCATTAATTGATTCTCACTTGATTTTTCTGTGTCCTTTCTCTTAATTATGGATCTGATTTGTGCGTGTATGTTTGCGTACTATACGTATCAATCAATATATATATGTGTGGGTGTGCACGCATATATTAATGTATGCTTGCATGCTGGTTGTTGACACAAGAATTGGCGATTACAGAGATGAGGAGAGGGGGAGAGTTAGAAGAATTAGAGATGGGTACTCTGTACAAGTATATATCTGAGGACCAGTGGCATGATGCAAAAGCATTCATTGAACTCCATCCTAGGGTCTTGGACGTAGAATTTGCAACTTCAATGGGCGAAACGCCTCTTCATGTAGCTGCAAAGTTTGGCCATCAGAACATAGTAAAGGAGTTGGTGAAATTAGTTCCAAAAGACTATCTTGAAATACGTGATGCTTGTGGTTGTACTCCGCTTGCAGTAGCTGCATCATATAGTGGAGTCATCCCAATTGCAAGCTGCTTGCTCGAAGAAAATCGCAAAGCACTTAAAATTCCATTAGGAGACTATGAGTGGAACATTCCTGTCACAATGGCTTTTCGTATTGGCAGCAACCAAATGGGACGTCATCTCTATTTTGCCATTGGTGATGATTTGCTAGTCTTCAAAGAAAACCCCATTGTGGGTCCTTTGTTCCTCAGAACCTGTTTCATGACTGGAGAACTTGGTAAAATAACTTCTTGATAATTATATTAACAAAGCATAATATATGTTTCATTTTCATTTCTCTCCCTGTCTGTTCATTTATGTTGTTATTTTTGACATTCCATCTTATGCTACATGATTATGATATATGAATAGGTATTGCTTTGGATTTGCTCCAACGATGTAGAGAGCTGATTTTTGCTGCTGATCATCTGTACTCAACAATTGAGCACATTGCATTCTATCTTTCGGATTCTCTCAACAAAACTCAACTTCGGTTTTGGAAGCAATGGGTTTATCACTGTTAGTGCATACCACTACTATCAACTGTCTATTTTTTTTCTCTCCTACAATTTTCTACATGTTTTTAATTATATATAAGCCAAAGTACTGAATTACGATGATGAGAGTAATGATATTTAAGTTGAAGTTGTTTTAACTCCACTTGTATATAATCTCATTTTCGTCATGATATAGTAAAGAAAAGAGCTTAAAACTGAAGTAAAAAAAAAAAGAGAATGAACTTCATTAACGCTAACAGGTATAGATATATGTCATGGAATCATGATATGTAAACATATTTGACTTTGCATGATAGTGTATGTTTTAGTTTAGTAGGATGAAATAAACAGAATAATCTCAGAAAAATTGAATAGCTTCACACAAATTACTTGTCCTTCTGGTTGTTGATTTTATCACTTTTGCTATTTTAAGAAGCTAATGCTTCTCTATTTCTTTGATCGCTTTCTGGGTGGAAGATATCAAAATACCACCAGCCACGGCTACTAATCAAATCCGTGTAGACATGCAATTAGAGGACGAGATGAGTAGCAGGGCCGAAGGTATTTTATTCTCTTTCGGTTGATTGGAAGACGAAATCTAATAATATAGCAAATCTAACCCTATCTCCAATCCTAATTATAAAACTTTATTTATAGACTACAACATATATATTAAAAGATGTAAAGAAAATTTTATTTTATGTAGAAAAATTTATCAGCAAGTCTTTATAATTTGCTTTAATTTTAATTCGATCAGAGCTCTGTAGTTTTGTTTTTTTTGGAATTAAGCTCTTATAGTTTAATCCATTATGGGCGTTCATCCTGAAATGTAAAAATTATTAATTTTAATTTCAGATTTGATTTAAAATAGAGGAACGGACTTGTGGATTAAATTTTCCCTTTATTTATCATACATGAAAGTGAGTTATGTCAAAATATAAAATTTGAGAATGAAAATCAATTTGGGCATAGTGATGCTGACCTTCTTCTTCTTGTTTTTTTTTGGGGGACTGAGATGCTGATCTTGATTTATGCATAAGATGCCAAATGTTGCCATTTAAGTTGAACCTAATTTTGATGCAATGCAAGAAAAGGATAGACCCATATGCACATATGTGTGTGCCTGTAATCTTTTTGAATGATTGCACTGACAAAATTCCATCTCAATATATAGGACTAAATCTACCACAGCGGCTCATCTCCTTCATTTATAATTTGCTTGGTATGCATGCTCAAAATTTCCCCAAAACTTAAATTAGTTACTTTTAAGATTTTTGTTCTCATGATTAAACTCGACCAATATCAAGTTATATTTGAGTTACTAATTGTTCAGGGATGAAGGAAATACATAAGCTCAAGTTGCAACATACACGGGCAACTGAAATTCTAGAGCTGGCTTGTAACAATCTGACATTTCTGAATGAGGATAAAAAGCGTATGATTGGAAAAGCAATGTTGGCGGCTGCTAAATCAGGGAATGTTGAGTTTTTTAAGAAGTTATCAACAGCAAACCCGGAATTAATCTCAATAGTCACTTTTTCCCAACAAAAGGAGAATGCTTTCTTCAGTGCTGTTAAATATCGTCAAGTCGAGATTTTTAACCTCCTCCGTGGGTTTCGCTTTAAGAATGTGGTAGCAGCAATGTTCCTTGAGAATTACAATAACTTGCTGCACACAGCAGCAAAGTTGGCTCCTCCTTCCCAACTTTACCGCATCCTTGGCGCCGCTATGCAAATGCAAAGGGAATGGCAGTGGTTTAAGGTTAGAAGTCAAATTAAATGCTTTTGTGTGCGCATGTGTGAGGGAGATTAACATATAAATTAAAATCATTAAATCATGCAGCTCCCACCTCTTTGGACCTAATGGTTAGCAGGTGAGGGATTAAATTCAACAGGAAATGAGAGATTAATTCCATTATCCCAGATGTAACAAATATTTTAAGATACAATCTGTCAGCACTTTTATGCTGCTACTTTCCTTTTTTCAATATAGGCAGTACAGAGTATCGTGAATCTTGGAATTGAGCGTCGTCATAACAAAGACAAGTTGACTCCTCTAGAGTATTTCAGAGAAAACCACAAAGAACTCAGGAACAATGGGGAGAAATGGATGAAAGATACTGCAACTTCTTGCTCAGTTGTTGGTGCTCTAATTGTCACCATTATGTTTGCTGCAGCTTTTACTGTTCCTGGTGGAAATGATCAAGCATCTGGGCACCCAATATTTTTGAAGGAAAAATTGTTCAGAGTTTTCTTAATTTCAGATGCAGTGTCCTTGTTTGCTTCTACTTCTTCTGTGCTTACATTTTTAGGAATTCTTACATCACGATATGCAGAAGATGACTTCCTTTACTCCTTACCTACAAAATTGATCATAGGCCTCTCTGCACTTTTTCTCTCAATTGCAACTATGCTGATAGCCTTTTCCTCAGCAGTAATCATCATGTTGCAACAGAACTCATCACCTTTTTTGGCTTTTCTTCCTGTTATTATGCTTGCTAGCGTGCCCATAACTATCTTTGTTGTAATGCAGTTCCCTCTTCTTGTTGAAATAATTTATTCTACATATGGTCCAGGCATCTTCCGGAAGGTGGAGAAGTGGCCATGAAATGTGTGTGTACTTCACATCTTAGTACTTTATGTATTTTCTGTTGAATAAGAAATTCTACATCCCCTCGAGTGTAAAGCGTCTGGTTTTATTTTTAGCTTAAGTAAGGGCATAAGTTGGAGAAGCGTGTGTATCATCAACCTTTGCACATTCAGATCATAGACATCTTGGTGTCTCATTATGCCAAATTAATTAATTTTAAAGTAGTGTATGCTGTTTAGCTAGTTTGCTTCATCCCAAATCTCCATTTTCTCAAAGACTCCAATAATCGTGCTTTTGGAAATATATCAGGATACATGGGCCTATTACAAGATATGATGCGCCTATTATAGTTTGAATAACCCAAATAAAGTCGAACCATTTAATTTTAAATTAATAAAAAGTGTAACAGTCTAATTTTATTCATGAGCATTTTTCCATCAATAATAAGAAATTTCAGTAAGCAAAAAGTTACAGTTGAGATTTTTTAACATGGATGTATTATCTTGTCCGTCACTTATTGTAGTACAAATAATTATTTTTTAAGTAGTATTTATATTAAATAGAGATAAAATTAAAAAAGTGTTATATTTTAAAGGTAAATTAATACAGTTCAAGATTCATTTTTTCTGGGATGAACTGTGTATTTTAATTTCTGAATCTGCAAGAATTGGTGATTACAGTGATCAGGGGAGAGAGGGACACACAAGATTTACATCATGGTAGGGCACTCTATGATTATGTAATAATTCTCTACGTTCAGATGTAAATGGGGGCTTAGAAGATATAGAAAAACTATTTGTGTTTAAAAAATTATCAATTAAAAATAATTTATCAATATAATTCTACCATGACAAGTGCTTACTATTGACATCCTGGATTACGCCAATTGCACGGATTATATTCTCGAGTATTGGATCGGCCGATCCGAAATAGAACTCAGCTAAATATATAGAGGCGTCAGCTAACTCTCTGTTCTTTCATTTCCTTCTTCCAACAACTCACGGGCATCAACGTCGTCATGTTTTGCGCTCCTGTCCTTTTCCACACTCTTGGCTTCGGCGACGATGCTTCTCTCATGACCGTCGTCATCGCCGTAGCCGTCAATGTCATGGCCACAATGGCCTCTGTTTATTGCAAGCCATCTATCTCTGAATTTTTTTGTTTCCATTCTTTGAAGGGGCAAGTCAGCAAGCTAGGGTGAAATCTATTCACGTGCTCTGAATTAAATCACCAGCCCAACAGTCACAGCATGTCAAGTTCAAAGGATAGCTGTATGTGATTATAGTATATGAAATAATTTTATAATATACGAAGTAAATATATAAAAAAATTTGTCTCAATTTTAAAAAAAGTCTTTTAAAAAGCACTTTTTACGATATTAAGGGGAAAAAAAATCATCATACATGTTCTCTTGGGTCGGTCAAGAAAGAAGCATCATTTCAGTCTACCATTCAAAAGGCAAAAGCTAACGTGATTATAAAAGAATGTTTAATAGTGAGGGAAATAATAAGAAAAATTTTGGAAAAATCCCCAAAAAAAAAAACCATGAAAATTATCAAATTGTAAATCAGAATCATTACAAGACTTGTTTTTGACAACAACTGAATGGTAAATAACAATAAATTTTTGACAAAATACCTGATTTATAATTTTACAATTTTTGTAATTTTGTAATTTTCACTATCTTTTTTCATGATATTTTCAAAAAAATTTGTCACGTTCTCCGTTGAATCGGCGGATCCGAAATAGAGATATGATTAATGCTTACCTTTTCCTTTTTGGTCAAAGACTAGCGCTTACTTTACAAAAGCCCAGAAGACAGAAAGGAACATAAGAAGGCTGAGCCATTAGCATATCAAATTTCCGTTAGAGGAGGGAAGCTGCACACACACACACACACACACACACATTCAAGTTCAACTGGTAAGTAATGTCTATGATTGATGTCTGTTCCTTTCAGCAGAAAATGTGTAGTTATCAAGAAATATTGCCCATTAATTGGTAGCTGCAATTTCAATTTTCAAAGCCGTGGCTATATTACAGAGAGTATCATCACCATCGATCTGCAACAACAGCTTCAATTGAGTTGAGTTATGGAAAGGATGCGCAATTTTAACGACATAGTTGCAGAGCCACTCGCGAAGAACACCAGAAAAGATTGGTTTGAATGGGTTCAGAACTATCTAATATCTCAAGATCTTTGGGAAGTGACGAGTAGTATCGCAAGACCAGACGAAAATGATGTGGAAGATTTTGGCAGATGGAGAAGAAAGAATGCCGCAGCATTGCATGTCATTCGCATCTCTTGCGGGCCTAAGAATCACTCTCATATAAGAGGGGTCTCTGAAGCCAAAGATGCATGGGACATTCTCTATCGTACCTACAATGCACCAAGCTATCCACCCTAAGGTCAGTGCTTTACGTTATACAAATTAGAATCTCGCTGTTTTTTACTCCTCCGGTTCTATTTATAAGCTTCAAATTTGGAGAGGGGTGTCATCTATTTTATAAGTTTTAATTCATGGTTTGTCTAAACATTTAATGCACTTTTTTTATTGTTACCTGTAATTATTTATTCTCTGTTTTTTTTTGCCATACCCTTTTGTACATTTTCCCATACATTCTCATTCATCATTTTTGTCATTTATTATAAAGGCTTGTTTGGAAACAAAACTATATTTCTAACATATTTATTACTTTTAATCAATTTTAACTATTTATTCGTTATCCATAAATTAGTTATTTGAAGCTTATAATAAGGATCGGAGGAAGCATTTGGGAAGTGGATTGAGTGAGAATAGGGAACTAAAATTTGGGCTTGTTTGGTGTGCATGATTTCCACTTTCAAGGATGGAACCATGCGACTCTAGTCTCCTGACTTGTTGATCTCCAAATCCCATAAAAGCTTATATATAGATTGAGTCTTTTCATTGTCTGTGATGACAAAGTTTTCATAGCTCGCAAACCAAGCATCTCTTGAAATGAAACCTTATCATTTTCATTAAAAACTAGTACGATATCAAAATACCTCAGATCTTTTTCAAATTATTTTAATTTCTTATTTTTAATAATCTTTTATTTTTATTTTATATAATTAAAATATATGCACATAACTATGTTAAGGCTAGACTCGAGTCTTGTACCTCATTCAAGTGTAGCGGTTGGCGGTCTCGCCAGATCAATTTGTTGACAAGTTACTGCGGTTTAGGGCTGGGAATCAAATTGAAGTCTAATCTGTTGAGCAGTCAGCACATGCACCTCATTACTTTTGTTGAATTTGCTGAAATAATTCGTTATTAAATAATTAAGAAAAGTCAGACATTCTGAAAATAATAGGAAAAAAATAGTCAAAGGACAATAAGATCTTCTATCAAATATATTCATGTTTTAACACAAAATTGGGTAACAGACTCCAAATTTAGGACATTATGAACATTTGTGATTGTATGACAGACCTAAAAGCACAATGTTCCGGTGAAAACCTACAGTGCGTACAAGCACATGAAGCTTGAAAAGGGTCTAAAGAGGGGAAAAACAACTTCCTACGTTAAATATTCGAAACATGGGCGGAGGAGGTTTTGTTCATCAAGGTAGATCAAGGCAATATGAGGTCAAAGTGACAACCTACGTGTTGTTCTCTTGTTTCGTGGCCGCCATGGAGGTCTTCTCTTTGGTTACGACCTTGGGATTACATGAGGCGTAACTTCTATGGACCCGTTCTTGATCAAGTTCTTCCCTTCTGTGTACAAACAAATGAAGCTTGAAAAGGGCCATGAAAACGGACCCTACTGCAGATTCAAAAATGACTCCTAACGTTGTTCACTTCATCTCTATACCCCGCAGCTTTGGTAGCCTCTCTGTTTCCCTCTAACACCACAAGAATTCTTGGTCGTAAAACCTCCATGTTCCTTGGAGGCTTGTTCTTCCTTGTGGGAGCCTTGTTGAATGGTTTTGCAGCAAATGTGGCCATGCTCATCATTGGCCGTCTGTTACTTGGCTTTGGTGTGGGTTACTGTAATCAAGTAAGTAACTCACAGTGATATTATTATTTTTCCAAAGGATCGATCGAGTTCCCAAATATGCATATAATTGCCCAAACCAACTCAAGTTTTCTCTCTCTTTTTCGGTCAACAGTCTGTTTCGGTGTACAATCTGAAATGGCTCCACCAGATATCATAGGGGTAACCGAAAACAGGGAAGAAACAAAGAAAAAGGGAAAGCTCTGAATAATTCTTTTATTAATCAAGCTTAAATCATACAATTAGAGCTAAGCTCAACTATTTATACTGTAAGCCGTTGTAACATATTGAACTGAAGTTTGTTGCATGTATGAGTTGAGTTGGGCTAGGCCCATTACAGCTGGTTACAGCTAAGCATATAATCCAATACTTCCCCTACTTGACTTTTCCTGAGGATGAACTTGCCAGATAGACTTGAGAATTAAAGATACTCTCCATAAGGACCATGTGAAGCTTCTCACGAAAGGTTGTAAATGAAGCTGCAGGTAATGCTTTAGTAAGCACGTCTGCCACCTGTTCAGAAGCAGGGATGTGTGCCACACGTAAAATTCCCTTAGCAACTTTTTCTCTCACAAAGTATAGATCTAACTCAAAGTGCTTAGACTTGCTGTGAAGTACTGGGTTTACAGAGAGAGCAACAACACCCGAATTGTCACACCAGACAGAAGGTATTCCTGCCACTTGAATTTTTAACTCCTTGAGTACAGATAAAAGCCATAAAACATCAGACACTGAATCTGCTCCACTTCTATATTCAGCTTCTGTAGTGGATCTTGCAACCACTTGTTTGCGTGAAGACCACATGATGGGATTTGACCCCAAGTATGAACAGTAACCACTTGTGGATCTCCTATCATCTCTAGAAGAACCCCAATCTGCATCTGCATAAGATTCGATGGAGAGATGTGTGGCTGGTTAGATCAAGAGACCATAACTTGGAGTCCCACACAGGTAACGAAGGACACGTTTAACTCCTTGCTAATGCACTTCAAGTGGGTT